GAAAGAAAAGGGATGGCAAAGGAGCAAGAGGAGATCATGGGCAGACAGAGAATGGAGAGAGAAGGGGGAGACTGGGGCCAGAGAGGGGGAGACTGGGGACAGACAGGGGGAGACAGGGGACAGAGAGGGGGAGACCGGGAACAGAGGTGTGGATATGCCTGGCAGGGTGGGGGCAGATGGGAGAGTGACAGGAGTGCGGGGAGGGCAGTGGCCTTACGCAGGGATGGCGTTGAAGAGCAGTGAGGCCGTCTTGGTGGCTGAGTAGCGAATGTTGGGTTCCATGTGCATCAGGGATGGGAAGTCAATCTTCATGGTGAAGCCAGGCAGGTACCGATTCCCACTGCTGTGGAGGGTGGCGGGGGAGGCAGAAAGACAGACACCGGTCAGACAGACTTAAAGCCCACTCCCCTTCATTCCTTCCCTGGATCCTCCCCTGCCTCTGGCCTCCCACCCAACCTGAAGCCACCTCCCTGCCAGACCCTCGGGGTCACCCCCCTCACCTGTCCCCTGGGTCTGCCCGAGGCATCATCTTGGTCAAGGCAAACTTCTTGTCTGTCTCCATCTCCTCAAAGCTGCCGACGTCTATCATGCCGGGGAAGCCGGGGGCGTAAACTTTCCAGCTTCCGGAGGGAGAGAGGTCAGGGGTGGCTAGTCAAACTTAGGGTAAAAAAACCCATCAAGGGCAGCTGGGGGAGGGGTTGAGTGTGGATACACTGATGCTCTTGGGACAATTGTCGGTACTCGCGTTCTGGATCTAGACTTGGGGTCAACCTCAGATGGAAGTTAGGGTTACATAAGGGTCCTGATCGGAGCCGAGCCCCCAAGGTTGGATCTGAGGTCAGATTCAGTGACAGTCTGATTGAGGCTGAGGTCAGCATAAAGGTGGGGGAAAAAGTCAAATTAGGCCATCCTCACCGGTAACATTCCTGTCGGCCCTGGAGTTCCCGTTTCCTGTGGTCCAGAAGAAGGGGAAGGGAGTCCTGACAAATAGTTTTTGCTGTGGGGAATGAAAAGTACTCATCATATACATCTCTTTTCAAAAGGTGAAGCTTGCCTGAACGCCCTAACCCTTGAACCCAATCCCTCAGTTGACACGGATACCCCATGTTCTTCGTGCATTCATCAGCAGAAGGGACTCAAGACAACCTCACCCCCAAATTGTAACGATCGTCCTAATTGTACTTTTGTCTCCTTCCCAGGACTCTTTGGGGGCAGAAATTACATTGTAGTAATTTTGTGTATTCCTGGCACCTGGTGTGGGGCCCACACTGTGCTCATAATGTGCACTTGACAGATGACTGATGAATGAGTATATTTTGGGAGGTGGTGGACAGACGGAAATGCTAGGATGATGGGGGGTCTCTGAAGAACTCGCTAGGGGGCTGAGATATCACCTCTCACCCCTAAGACTCATGTCACTCGGGCCAGCCCTTGTCATGCCTCTTGGGATCAGACGGCTCAGGAGACGTGGGTGGGGGTCCAGAGGCTGAAGGAGCTCGAGCTCAGCATCCTTGAAAGGCCCCCCAGATGCAAGAGGGAAGCCTAACAGCACGTCACAGGGACTTCGTCCACACCAGAAAAGCCACTAGGAGCTGTCGGCTGGGCCTTCCCAGCTAAATTCTCTCAGCGGCTGCACCTGCCGACACCCAGTTACTCGGCTTACAGCTCAAGTCCGCTCTGGGCGCAGGAGAAATTCACTCTGGGGGAGTGCAGAGGGAGTGGGCAGAAAGCTCTGAGATCCGGTCACCCTAACCTCACCCCCGTTCCCTGCGGCCTGGGCCCCATGAGACCCCACCCCCGACCCCAACAGATGCCTTCTGCAACCCAGGCCAGGCCCCGGCCTCTGGCCCACCTGCTCCTGGTCGCAGCTCTAGGGTGCAGTAGCCCGCAACCCACTGATAGCAGGGGAAGTGGGAATGGGTGCCATCGGGGGCCGTGACGCAGACACAGCTGCAGTACCAAGAGTCCTTGGGGAAGAAAGCGTAGCGCTCCTTGTGTAGACGCAGCAACAAGACCTCGCCCAGCTCCGCTGAGCAGCGCACCTTGTACTTCTGCACCTGAGGAGACCAAAAAGCAAGCAGGTGAGAGGCGAGGAACGGCGGGGGCATCCTTACACCTGGCGAGGAGCCTCTATGCCTACACCTGTTCTGGCATATAAAGCTGGGAGCTGCTAACCCACGCGGGGCCTTTGTATGAATTCGGAAAAGGCACCCCTCCATCCAAGCAGGAGCGGCCACAGCTCCCAGAGGCACGGTGAGTGAGCAGAGTGGATTCTGGACCTCACCAGCCTCCTTGGCTCCCACACCCTTGTGTAGGCCACCAGCAAACAATCGCGGGGCCTGGCGGAGGCAAGCGGATCCCCTCCAGAGAAGAGGAAACCCCCGACTCACAGAGGGCAAGTGACTTGCCCAAAGCCCACCTTCAATTATGAGAGGAGCTAGGAAGCCGGTGGAATTCTCCTGACCCCCAGCCCCCCGGCTCCTTCTTCACAGCCCTGCCTGGGTAGAAAGTGTCCTCTCCCCAGGAAAGACAGAGACCAGAATGGGATGGTGAGGAGGTCAGGGCCGGCTCCCTGAGTTCTGCAGGGCTGGAGGAATGACCTGGGGGAATGACCCTCCCCTCCTTCAGGGTCCCCAGGCCCTCAGGGGTCCCTCCTCCCTCTCCTCCGTACTTACAGATCCAGGGGCGAAGTCCCTGCCCAAGCGATCCAGCAGCTGCTTGGGGCTCTCACCACAAGTGCCCACCAGAGTGACAGAGATGTTGTCCAGCGTGCCGGCCCTCAGGTAGGGACCCGTGGTCACATACACGCGGTACACGGCCATGGCGGGAAGGAAAGAGGGCTGCCCCCGCAGCGGTGGCCAAAGCAGCAGCCCGCCTTGGCGCAGGGGGGCCGGGGCGCGGGGCGGGGCTGAGCCGTCGGCCTGCGGAGCTCCTGAGTGGGGGGCTCGGCCCGGGCAGGTAGGCCTCCCAGGGAAGGCCCCGCTCTCTCTGGGATGCTCTGGGGCTCGCCCGCCTCTCTCCCGCGAAGCTGCCGGGCTCTGTCCCGGCTCACTGCGGGCTCCCTCTCCCCACCCTAAGAGTTGTTTGCTCGCCTCTGGCACAGCCGGTCTCTCTGGCTGGCAGGACAGGGCTCACCCAGATGGATATCAGGAGCCCGCGTCCCACTGGGAAGGGAGGGACCAGGCGCTGAGAGGGAGACGAGGAGCAGGTGACACCTGCGTGACTGGGACACTGCCCCGCTCCCGGGTAGGGGCCGCTGAGCCCCCGGGGCCCTGGTCCGCCCACTCCCCAGCTTGCCCCGAGACCCCTTCCCCTCTCAGCCAGGCCTGGGCACGGGGCAGCCGCATTCCCTACTTGTGAATCATCCACGTGAATCACTCTGCGCAAGGGAGCCATCCTCGACATAAATCACGCGTGACCGCGGCCACACGCAGGCGAGTCGCCCCTGCGGAGGAGTCAGGCACAGCTCTCCTGCCGCTCCCCACTGCGCACCACCGTCCCCGCGCCCGGCCCCCTGGGTCCCCGCTCCGCGGCACGTCCGATCTCGATCCCTCCCTCGGGATGGGGCCGGCCAGCGGACCAGCGCGGACCCGGGGCTCACGCCTGAAGGCCCCGCGTGACCTTCGTTCCGCTCCGGGCCCGCCCGCGGCCTGCAAGGCCGGGGCCAAGGGCGGGGGTGCCGGGGATCTGGGTCGCCCGGGCCGCGGACAAACCGCTCCGCCGGGGAGGCCCGCAGCCGGCAGCGGCCCCGCGCGGCCAGTCCCGGCACCGCAGCGGCCCAGCCTCGGCGGCGCTCCGGTCCCAGCGGCCCGAGCCCGGCCGGGACGGCGCTCGAGCGAGCCTGGCAGAGCGCAGGCGGCAGCCGCGGGGCCGCCCCTGCTCGCTCCCGGGGCGCGCCCGGGGCGCTGCGCTCGCGCGTGCGCTCACTCTCGGCTTCCGGGAGCCTGGACTTCCGCGGGCGAACAGCTCTTATAGGCAGTAGCGCAACGCCCTAGCAAGAGCCCGGATAGCTCAGTCGGTAGAGCATCAGACTTTTAATCTGAGGGTCCAGGGTTCAAGTCCCTGTTCGGGCGTCTGCTTTTTTTTTTTTTTTTAGGAGTATAAATCTCTTCTTGAGTAAGCGTAATATCTGTATTCCTTTAAACAAAAGCAAGAAAAAAAAAAAAGAATAACAAAAGTGCTGTTACATGACTTTAAAAAAGAACTGATAGGGTTTTTAGTTTTCAGAAAGTAGAACGAGTGAGAGTGGAGGGAAAGTAGAGATGTTTCCTGCGAATGCAAACGTTCTGGTAGGCACATTAAAGAGTAAACAGAACCAGGTGATATTAATTTTAATAACATTTTTTATTTAACCCCATGAAATCTTATCTCAACCAATATTTTTAATATTTTTAAATTATTAATGATTTTAACCAATATTTTTAAATTATTTTTAAATTTTAACCAATATTTTTAAATTATTAATGAAATTTTAACAATCTTCTTTTCAGTTAAGTGCCGTGCCTTCTAAGTATGGTGTGCATTTTACACGTCACAGCGCATCGCAGTTCGTATCTCAGGAGCTCCATAGAGGCGCCCATCGCTTCAGGTAGATGTTTTTGTTTTCTTTTCTCATTTCTCATTTTTCATTTCTCATTTCTTTTCTCATTTCTCATTTCTGTGAAGGGTAGATTGGGAGGGGCAAGAACTTCAGTATTATGTACACTCCCAGAAAAGGTCTCCCAGGAGTGGGTTCCATGGTGTAATGGTTAGCACTCTGGACTCTGAATCCAGCGATCCGAGTTCAAATCTCGGTGGAACCTTAGGTTTTTTGCCTCAACTCGTACCGTTATTTCTCAGCTTCGTGCATGAGCGTTTCTCGTCCCCCGAGAGGGTCTGAGAAGGAAAGCAAACGAAGACGCCGTCCTTTGGGCTTCCCAGACCGGGTGATCGGCGCCGCCGGCACACCATCGAAACACACGGTCGGCACTTAAAAGATAGAACAAGTTGCGCCAGTTTTGAGAGAGAACGCAGTTTCAGGACACCGTACTGCGGGCTGCCACCACCCAGGCTGTCCCGAATAGCAGGGAGGGGATGGTGCCATCGCTGAATGCAGTCCTTGTAAAAAGGAGAGACATACGTCCCATTGGAAGGGGGTTTACGAGTTCTACGGTGCACAGGCCACCAGGAAAACTCCATCTTGGCAGCGGTGGGATTCGAACCCACGCCTCCGAAGAGACTGGAGCCTAAATCCAGCGCCTTAGACCGCTCGGCCACGCTACCTGCGTGGAAACGGGTCCTCCCCGTAGTCCTCCTAAGAGACTAGAGGGGCGAGACAGGCTCGCGATGACTCTACTAAGTCAGCGGGCCCTCTTTGGAAACCCCAGACCCGGGAGCAGCGGACGGCGAAACAGACAGGGCGGAGGAAATAGAGACACACCGACATTTGCAACGAAAACAAGTTTATTTTCGTGGGTGGGGCCACATCTGGGAGTGGGGTGCGCCTGGGCCGGAAGCATCCCCCAAGCGGGCAGCCGGAGCTCTGTACTCGCTCGCTCCTGCTCGGTTGCTCTCCCTCCCGGCCTCTTCCGCCCGTGCGCGCCCGCACTCCCACCTGGCTCTCGTGCCTTTGGCCCGCTACCTCTCCCCGGCAGGCCTGCGAGGTCCCAACCACGCGCTCCTGGCCCACCCGCCCAATCCCCTCACACCCCTCTCCCTCCCCGCCCCTTGCGCATGCTAGTACCCGTAAGCCGTCAGACGCCGCCGCCCGCCAGGTGGCTCTGTGGCGCAATGGATAGCGCATTGGACTTCTAGTGACGAAAGAGCGATTCAAAGGTTGTGGGTTCGAATCCCACCAGAGTCGATTTTATTTCAATTTTTTTTTTCCCCTTCCTCTTTATCCGGCTTTTCCTTAAAGGTTCCCATCCCTTCTCCCCCTACCCTATTTCAGTGTTCTCCACCTGGTTTCAGCTTCAACCTCAGTCTCCGCTCTGCTCTCTTCTTTACTTACCTGTCTGCCCCGGGGCTTGGGCCATGGAGAGCAGGACTGGGAGGGGCGGGAGACAGAAGGAAAGGGAGACAGAAGGAAAGTGGGCGTGGACGCCGACATAAAGGCAGGCCCCTGGCTCGGGGACACACGGGGATTTAATAACCACTTTATTCCATGCACTAAGGACTCGGGAAGGTACCGGGGCTGGGCCGGGGGCAGAGAGGGTACAATCCTAGATGCAAGGTGGGGGGGGGGCAGGGAAAAGGGACAGGAACCAGGGAAATATATATTTATATAGATACTCTAATATAGACCACATCTCACCCGCGCGCTGCGCCCGCGCGCCCCGCCGCCCTCCCCAACACCTGCTAGCCCCGACGCCCGGGTCCCTCTGCTGCCCTCGGGCTGGAGTCTCTACCTCACCCCCAGCCCCCGCCCCCGCCCCACCCCCCAAAGCTCAGGGCCAAGGTCTCCAGAAAGCGGGCGGCGGGGGCGGCGGGGCCTTGGGCGCCCCGTCTTGTCTGTGCGGCGGCGGCGGCGGCGGCGGCAGCAGTCCGGTGAGGGGCGCCGGCGCGCCGGAATCCCCGGCGCGGGGCGAGCAGGGGGACGGGGACCAGGCGCAGCGCGGGCTACGGGGGCCCTGGTGCACTGGGGGGCGCTGGTGCAGCGCGGGGCCGGGCGCCGGGGCGGCGGGGTCCAGCGGTGGGCGCGGCGCTTGGGGCCTCGCATCTACCGGCTCCGGCCGGGGCGGCTTGGGGCGCAGGTAGCCGTGCAGCGCGGAGAAGAGCTGGGCGCGGGCGGCCGGGCTGGCGTCGTGCGCGAAGGCCGCCAGGCGAAGCAGGCACTCGCGGAAGCCGGACAGGTAGCAGCTGGCGAGCGCCTCGGCGTCCTGGGCTGGGGACCGGGGAACCCCTGGAGCCGCGGCGGCGGGAGCACCGGCGGGCAGGGCAGGGGCCCAGCAGGGGTGAGGGAAGGGGCGGGGCGCAGAGATACCGAGGCCCGACAGACGCACAGACAGAGACAAGAAGCCAGATGGACGGACAGAGGGAGAAAATGAGGGAGACACAGAGACAGACACGCGCGGGTGTTATTAACCTCGCCTCGGAGCAGAGCCTACCACTCCCCAAGCCCACCGTCCATCGCAGGGTCCGCCCCGTCTACCCCGGTCCCCGGGCCTCCGTGAATCCCCCCTCCCGCCCTCCGCTGCCCCACCCCCGCGCTGTACCCGGGGGCTCCACCCGGCTTCGCTCCCTCAAGTAGCCCACGGCGAACTCCAGTATCTCTGCTTTCTCCAGCTTCGGGTTGCGGAGGTTCTACAGACGGGAGGGGGAGGGCGCAAAGACAGAGAGGGGTGGGGAGAGAGGGGGAAGTGGCAGGGGGAAGAAGGGAGGGCGGATGCGGGAGCTAGGGGTGCCCCCGATCGCGTGTGCGCGCTGCCCACGGAGCGCGCGACCGAATGCGGAGTGGCGATGACCAAGGACGGTCCTGGGAAACCTTGAGTCTACACCGTCCAACCCGAGGGGATGAAACCAACCCACAGGGTGAGGAGGGGGTTTGAAACGGCAAACCCAGGGACGGAAATGAACCACCCTGCAGGCTGTTTTGAGGGGTGATGGGGGAGGAGGAGCGAGCGCTTACAGACCTAGAGGTTGAACACGGACCGACCCTGGGAGTGAAATTTACAGAGCCGGGTGTGAAACTTACAGACCCGAGGGGTGGCCATGAAGATCGCGTTCTGAGAGCGAGAGGGGGCTCTGGGATGGGTTTCCAAGGGCGGGACTCGGGTCAGGATGCCTTGGCGCCCGGGTCGCCAGTGCAGCGTGTGTCCCCACCCCAGTGGGAGGCCCTGGGTCGCGAGGACGGGATGCCGGGGACGCTCCGCGGGCGGTGGAAGGACTGACCTGGTCCCGGGTCCGCTCCAGCAGCAGCAGCCTCAGCTCTTCCAGGCTGCGGTTGATGCGGTCCCGGCGCCGCTTCTCCACCAGCGGCTTCAGCATCTGCGACCAGCAGGAAAGGGAGAGCGGGCCGACCGGACCGAGACTCAGCGCGGCCGCGCCGGCGTTCTGATCCAGCGGCTGGGACAGTCCCGCCCCCACCCCTTCCCGGACCCCCCAACGAGGGCCTAGGGCCGGGCCCACTGGGTCCCTCTCCGCTCCCGCTCCCAACGCCCCTAGGGTCAACGTCTGTAGCTCGCCTCCTCTCTCTCCCGGGTCTTCTGCATTCTCCTCTCTCAGTCTTGTCCTCCCTCCTCCCCTCTCTGTGTCTCTCCTTCTCCTCCTCCTCTTTTCTTTCTACGTCTCCGTCTCGTGCAGTCTCTCTGTCTCAGTGGAGAACTTTGGGGGCCCTCTTTGCGCCCAGACACGTGGCCCGCAAGGTGCCGGGCTCTGAGTCGGCGGCCCTGAGTGTAGAAAGGGAGATACCCAGCGCGACCGCGCCTCCTCTTCTCCCTCTAACCCGTCTATGCAGTCACATTACTCTACTGGTTCTAAAAGCTGCCACCCGGTCTCAGGCCTCTGGAACCAGTGCATTCCGGGCCTTCTCTATGAGGCTGCCCTGGGCCAGCTCTGGCTCACCGAGCGCGTGGAGCAAGTGCCTAGCCTCTCCGCTCTTAGTTTCCACCCGCCTCCCTTAGCTCTGTGCTCCCCTTGCTTATTTCACTCAAATTCGTGCCCCCTCCCACGCCCTCCAAGCCGCAAGGTGCCACATCCCATTACCCAAACCCAAGACCTCTACTTCTGCCGCCCACGCAGCTCCTGCCCTGACTCTGCCCCCTTCTTCATCCTTTCAGCTTCCTTTCCACCTCCTGGCTCCTTGGGTCCCCCACGCACCTCTCCCCCTTCCAACCCTGCGCCTCCAGGCTTTTCCCTTCCCCCGGGGTCTCAGGGACCCGGTCCCCTGACCGGACCAAGGACCTCCGCTCCCTCCCCTCCCGCCTCTCACCTTGGGGCCGTCCCTATTCTCGGCTCGATCCCGAGTGACCATCGCTCCTCCGGACCCTGGTGTGGACCGAGCCCCTGCCCGCCTGGCGCCTTATATCCCGCAGGCTCCTGGGTTGGGGGGGGGGGTGTAGGACCCGGACCCGCCCCCTTCGGCACCCGGATCCCGCCCGGCGCGGCCCGGGGCACGAGGCTCCCGGAAAGGGGAGGAGCGCAAGGGGGAGGGGAAGGAGTGGAACTGGCCTGGGAGTGTGGGAAATGAGGGGCCAATGCAGCATTGGCTGGTTTAAGTCCCCTAAGGCTGTATAATGAGGTGGAACCCGGCTGAAGGGAGGAGGTTATTAGGGGGAGAGGGAGTTGAGGTGATTTGGGACAGGACTCAGGAATGAAGTTCAGAGTCCTCCCCGCCAACCACCATTCGCAGCTTTCTTGGGAGCTCTCCGTTTCCCCACCGACTCTGAAATAAGAGATAGCATCCCTCAGCCCCCAGACTGGATCTTATACACCTTCCCCCAAAATCCACCTCCTAATTGGGTAAGGGAGTGACCTGAGTGTGCTGGGTGAATCTGTCTAATGCACCTGGGGCGAAGGAGCCGCTCTGTGAGATCTTAGTGAATCTTACTCCATTCCCCCAGCACTACGCACACCTGGTGTGGGCTTGGGTCGTTCATACACACATAAGCACTACAGGCCCAGCTTACCCTTACAGGAGCGAGGCGGAAAGACGGGTGTTATCAAGTAGCTATTATAGAGCAGAGTGAAGCAGGTGCTGGGAGAGGGTCATACTGACCCATGGCTGGACTGGGGAGGAGCGGGACCCTCAAGGAAGAGGAAGCAAGGCTTTGAAGCATGGGCAGGGGGTGGAGAAACCTTCCCACTTAGAAGTATTTGATTCAAAACTAATTATAGGAGGTTCCGGCGTATGGTTTCCAGGACACCTGACATAAGTCGTGCTCCCGCTGCTTGCTCCTGGGGACCCCTCCAGCCCATCGGGGAGCAGGGAACAGGCCGTTTTCTTAAAGGGACAGGAAAGAGATACAAAAAGGGATCAACACCCACCTCAAACCAAGAACATGACCCTCTGCAGAATGGTGCGTGAACGCTCGGAGGCTTCCAGATAAAGTGTCTGAGAAGACAAAATCAGAGATTTCACGGGACAGCCAGACCGCCGGGGACAAGGACACGGAAAGACAAGGTTGCAGACCGAGTCGGAAGGTAAGCTGCGGAGTCAGAGGCCGACGAGGCTCTCCGAGCCCTCCCAGGGCCTCTCCACACCTTGGGGTTTTGTTTTGTTTTGTTTCACGGAGTCTGCCTTGCCAAAGCCCGAGCCTGGAGACACACAGACCTTGGGGAGGGCGCTCCCATTTGGGATCAGGGCCGCCAGCACATCCCACCTCCCCCTATCTGGGCCAAATGGGAGCGCAGATGTGTGGCCCCAGCAGCCCCCCTCGCCCCCCTCCTTGGGAACCTGCGCTCGGGCTGAGTTTTTCTCACCTGCACGCGAGGCTCGGGGCCTCGGGCTGTTCGCACCCGGGTGTGGGGCCGCCCCTGGCCATATGGGGCGACTTTATGGCCGGGTGGCCGGATCCGGGCGGGAGGAAGCATGGCCTGGCGCTCCACCCACGTCAGCTACTCGGGGGCCACTCCTCCGCCGAGCCCCTGGCCTACACCTTCTGCCTGACCCCGGCCGCCTCCACCTCTTACAAGCTCAGGTAGGGTCAGTAAGGAGCAGCTGTCGCCTGCATTGGTGGTTCAGTGGTAGAATTCTCGCCTGCCACGCGGGAGGCCCGGGTTCGATTCCCGGCCAATGCACTGCTTAACCGTTTTTTTCATTTTTGTTTTTTCTTGTCCCCCAGTAGGGGAGAAGTCTGATGAAATGTCCAAGAAGCATCTGTTTGACATTCTTAGCAAATATTAATACTCAACTTTTTTACCCTATGGCAGAGTTGGAGGCTCTGGATCCAGATCCGGATTCTCAAGGTCCTCCCACTCCCGTCCTCCCAGCCCGGGGGTCCTGCTGCCTTCCTCACCCCTCCCTCCGCCCCCCCCCCCCCCCCCGGCCCCGCACCTCCGCAGGCGTGACCCTGAGAAAGGACACGCTGCTCGGATCCCTGCCCCGGGGGTCCTCCCACCCTCCGCGGGGGAGGGGCGGGGCCTTTCCGCCCTACGCGCCCCAAGTCCCGGGCTCTTCTGGCCCTTTCTCTTCCTCGCTCGCTCCCTCCTAGTTTCTGTGCTCTCTGAAGCACGCCTGCTTTTTCTAAGTCCGTGGGTCCCGGCCTTTTGGTTCCGCCGTCTTCCTGTGCCCCCCGCGGCCCCCTCGGGGGCTCTATCTCTCCAGGTGTCTTAGCAGCGTCCGCGCGGTCTCGTTGGGTCTGCACCTGTGTCGGTGCGTCTCTAGCTCCGGGCCTCTGCGGCCCGCGCGGCTCGTCTCCGGCGCGCCTGGGTCTCTGACCTCTCGCGGTCTCTCCGGGTCTCTGTCGCCTCCCGGCACTCTGCGCTCCCACGCTCCTGCCAGCCCCTGGGAAGCTCGCTCACACCTCCGAGCCCCCCGCCACCTCCCCGCCCGTCCCTTCCCGGCCGCTTTGATCCCGCACGCGTCGGGCCGGCGGGCGGCCGGGCGCCCTCGCCAGCTGCCGCGGCCACTTGTGAGCCGGGGGAGGGGGGGGGGGGGGCCTGGGGGCGGGGGCGACCCCGACCCCCACCCCTCCCGCCGTGCCGCGCCGCTGCCCGGCCTCCTGCGGGCCCGGGTCTCTGGTTCGCTGAGTCTGGGTCGCTCTCCGGAGCTCGCCCTGGGCCTGCTCGGCCTCCGCTTTCTGCCTCGGGTCTGTTTCAGTCCGTTTCATCTGGGGGTTTCCTGTCGCTGGATTGTGTCAGGACGCGGAATGCTCTCTTCGCTCCTCGCAGCCGCGGCCGTGGCTCCCAGCAGGAAACTGTACGACAATCTGGGCATCTGTCTGTCTGCGAGTGTTACTCACTCAGTCGATTACTCTTGGGTGCCCAGTATGGGTAGGCACTCAGGGTGCACTGGTCTGGGCTCTGCTGAAGCTACATTATGGTGGGAGGGGAGTACAGAAAATAACTAAGAAAGCAGAAAATAACATAACACGGTTATTAGGCTGGTGGGGGTGGGGGGCGGGCAACCGGCCGGGGCAATGGCTTGAGAGTGAAGTCCTGCTTTCTTTACTCGGGGTGGTCAGAGACATCCTCTAGGAAGAGGTGATATTTCAGCCCAGCAGAGCCCGCTGAAAGCAGGTGACAGGCGCGGCAAGTGCAAAGGCTGTGAGGCAGGAATGGACTTTGCTGGTGGGAGCTAGAGAAAGAGGGCCAATGTCCCTGGGACCGCGGATTTGGGGTGCGGCAGAGATAAGAGGGAGAGGCGGGCATGGCCCCATCACACAGGGCTTTGCAAGCTCGGCAAGGACTTTGGACTCTATTCTTACGTGCCAGGGGAAGCAAGTGGAGGGTTTTAACCGGGAAAGTCATGGTCACTGACTTCTCTTTTAAATGACCACTTTGGCTGCTGTGTGGGAGATCATTTGGGTTGCTAGAGCAGCCTTCTAGGCAAGACATTGATGGTGGCCTGTATCAGGTGGAGGCAGCGGAGACAGAAGTGAATGGGTTACTTCTCGGTGTTGGGCTTAAGTAACTGGCTGGATGATGGTGCCTTTTACTGAGATGGCAAACGCCAGGGGAGTGGAGCTTTGGGAAAAGTTTGGAGAGACAGACCAAACGTTACGCTCTAGTCAGATTAGTTGAGATCCCCTTAGACATCCAAGCGTCTATGGGATGTATGAAGTTGGGGGTCAGAGGTGGAGGGTAAGTGTGGGGGTGTCCCTGGGAGATAGATGGCTTTAATGCTATGAGACTAGAGCACCCAGGGAGAACGTGTGGAGAGAGAAGAGAGGGGCTGAGCAAGGAGCCCTGGGACTCCCCCAAGACTTACAGGCTGGTCCGAGGAGCAGGAATTGGCAAAGGAATCTAGAGTGATCGGGAAGGTAGCAGAAAAGCCAAAGGAGTGGGAGCTTGAAAAAGAGGGCCAGTGTCCCTGGGACAGAGAATTTGGGAAACCAGGATAACAGCGAGTCTATGAAGGAGGGAGCCACTGGTTCTAGCTAAGCTCCTGGGAGGTCAAGTAAGGACAAGAGAGCGAAGCGACCATCAGCTTAGCATCTTGGACGTCACTGATGACCTGGGCAGAGGGGCACCTGAGCACAGTCCCGTTAGGGTGGGTTGATGGAAGAATGGGAGGGAAGGCATGCAGACAGCAGCTGTAGACATCTCCAGCAAGTTCTGCCATGAGCGATGAGCAGAACCGTCTGTGGCACATAGGGGCGCGGACCATCCTGGAGGCTGAAGGGAGCAGCCCAGGGAGGGGGGCAGGGAGGAGGATGGGGGCTGGGCAGTAGACTCCTGTGCCAGGCAGAGAAATCAGCCTCAGGTAGTAGGGAAGGCTCCTCACCCACAGGCAGATGGGGGGAGACAGAGGGTGCGGGTCAGTTGGGGTGCAGGGAGAATGAGCCAGGTTCTCCTGGTTGCTCTCATTTCCTCAAAGAAGAAAGAGTCCAGCTCGCTGCTGGAAGGGAGAGAGCTCAGGTCGTTTGAGGAGAAAGAAGGTGTGAAATGTTCATTTTGGAGAGTAGGAAAAGCCCCGTGGGCTAGAGGAGTAGGATTTCTAGGCAGGTTGAGAGTCCATTTGAGATGTGGGATCAAAAGTTTCAAGTGCAGAGGCCAATTCACCAAAAGCTAATTCAGTTTATGCTTCAGGACCCCCTCGCTTGCACTGACTCCTGGCGGGGGGGGGGGGGGCTAGCAAATGTGTTCACATGGCCATGTGCTTCTATAAGATTGGCAAAAGTAAGATATTTCAACTGTAAACGGTGAAGACCGCTGTCTCTTCCCACTCTGCCAGCCTGTCACTCTTTCCCTCTGGGGTTGGAGTGGCTGCTGCCATTTGGGGATCCAGTTCCGGGAAAGGGGAGCTGGAGAGACATACAATGTACGGTTTCGTGGGATATGTTGAGGTGGTTCCCAATGACTTCCACGTATAACGGGTTAGCCTGGCTACCCTGGTGTGGGAATGAGTTCCAGGAAGTTGCCATCACCTGTGTCCGTCACCAGGCCTTGTGCCATGAAGGAGCAAAGCCAGGGGGGGCACACGCCATACGAATGGGTCCAGTGGCTCTTGTCACTATAAGGACGTGGATGGTGGAAACAGAACCGGTAGCTAGTCTGTAGAAAGTATCACAGAGATGTGCAGGCTGCTCATTAATGCAAAGAAGCTGTAGTTTTCTGGACTTGGTGACATGGGTCACGCTTCAGTCAGCGTTTCCAATTTGTGAGTTGTGATCTCTCTACAAAACCCACCTTAGTATGATTTTCTTTAAAAGCCCCCCTCCCAGGGCGCCTGGGTGGCTCAGATGGTTGAGCGTCTGCCTTCGGCTCGGGTCGTGATCCCGGGGTCCTGGAATCGAGTCCCACATCGGGCTCCCTGCTGGGCGGGGAGCCTGCTTCTCCCTCTGCCTCTGCCTCTCTCTCTCTCTCTCTGTCTGACTCTCATGAATAAATAAAACATTAAAAAAATATATATATAAAAAAAAAAGCCCCCCTCCCAAATTATAGACACATCAAGCCCCCAAAACCTGAGGCCAGTTGTCCTGGCTGCACGATTTTCTCCAGCAGGGTTTCCTGTGCAGATATGAGGCTGAGAGACCACCCTCCAGGCGGATGCCCAGTGTTTCTGAAGGTTTGGGGTGGGGGGTCTCTGTGCGGCCTCCAGGCCTCTGTCAGTATGGGCCTGGGTGCGGGTCCCGTGCATATGGTGTGTGTATGGGTGTCTGGGCCTCTTCCTGGCCACCGCCATCTCAACAGCGACCGCATCTGGGCTTGGGGGAGGGGAGCTCGTGTCCCACACGCGCTGGGCCCCTAGGGAGGCGGGAGGCACGGCCAGGAACTGAGACAGCGCAGCTGGTGGAGTGTCCCGAGCTTCCCCTCCCCCGCTGGGACGTCTCCCCAGGCCTGGGTTCCAAGGCTCAGCTCCTCCCTCTTTGTTCTTCAAAGGGGAGGCTGGCTTCCTGGGACCCCCTGGGTCCTGGGTAGGGGGAGTTCCTGGAGGGTTGGGTCTTGGGGGCTTGGGAGTTGGGAAGTAGGAGGACCGGGCCGCCCCCTGGGGGGGGGCAAGGGATGAATCAGGGTAGAAGACCCCAAAAAACCCAAAACAAAACAGGATAATCCCCACCCTCACTGGCCAGACGGTCTTGTAGGGGAAACAGTCACAGGAACATTAAGCAAAACGTATTTGTCAGGTGGTGGTTACGTGCTTTGGAGAAAAGCCAGCAAAGGAGCGGAGAGTGGGAATTGTAATTTCAGAGGGTATAATCAGAGCCTTAGGACTCACTGAGAAGGTGAAATTTAAGAGGTGAGAGCTACACAGGAGTGCCTCGGGGAAGAGCTCTCCAGGCAGACACCAGGCAGGAAAAGTCTTGAGGGACGACATGCCTGGCTTGTCAAGGAGGGGATGGCGGCACCGGACGAGGTTGGCACGGCCAGAGTTGAGATCAGAGAGATAAAGGGGGGGCAGGGCCTGATCACCCAGGACCTTCTAGAAGGTTCCATGGACTTTGTCACGATTCACCCATTTCTGAAGGAGATGAGAGCCCATTGGAGGGCTCTTCCACCCCCTACCTCCCACCCCCACAACTAGCTTTTTTTGTTTTGTTCTGTTTCTAGCACTTTTAACACTATAGTACAGTTATCAATATCAAAATTAATATAATAACATTATTTAATTCTCCAGTCCATATTCAAATTTCCTAAAGTGTTTCAGGGATGTCCTTATAGCTCTTTTGTCCTGATTCAAGAGCCAGTCCGGGATCACGTGGTTTTGTCTCACTCCTAGGTCCTTTCAGTCTCATTTAATCTGCAAGAATCTTCGCTGTTGATCTTCTCGGTTTTGAAGAGTTCAAGACCATTATTCTGTAGAGTGTCCTTCTGTTTGGCTTGTCGGATGTTTCTTCACGGTTAGAATCAAGTTAGAATCACCATAAGTAGTGATCAATGGATTTAGCAAAAAGATTATGTCTTTTTGGCGGGGACATCACCACGGAAGTGACACCAGGTCCTTCTCGGTCCTCCGTGTTGTCACGTAGGAAGACACAGGTCAGTTTGCCTCAATAGTAATACTGTCTTCGGTCACGTGGTTAGATGGTGTTGGCCAGGGCTGTCCGCCGGAACGTTATTATTGGCCCCCTCCCGAGGAGTAATTAATGTAATTTGTGGGAAGATACTTTGAGACTCTTCGCTACTTACGGCCCCATTAAGGTTCACCCTCTACTTGAGTATTCATTGATGATTTCTAACTCCATATTTATTAGTTGGCAGTTTACTGTAAAAAGAGCCATCCCCTTCCTTCCCATTTTATTTATTTATACTGATATGAACTTTGGAGTCTTAACTGATTTAAGGAATTATAATCCATCACAATCACTCCTTATTTTAATGCTTGATTTGTCCCAGATTTAGCCAACGGGAGCTCCTTTAGCTGTAACCCTTAGCTGTTATGTCTTTTTTTTTTTTATAGGTACCCAAAATTCTTTGAACATTACTTTGCTGTGCAACAAAGTGTTCCAAGAGCATCTTATAATTCCCTAACTGAAGCCCTGGAATCAGCCTTTTTTCCTAGGAACCCTGGTTCATTTTTTTTTTTTAAGATTTTATTTATTTACTTGACAGAGAGAGAGAGAGACACAGCGAGAGAGGGAACACAGGCAGGGAGAGTGGGAGAGGGAGAAGCAGGGCTCGATCCTAGGACCCTGGGATCATGACCTGAGCCAAAGGCAGACGCTTAACTGACTAAACCACCCAGGCGCCCCGGCCCTGGTTCATTTTAGAGGAGAATGGTATTTAGTAACCAAGATCTGGTCACTTGTGTGCTTATTGCTATTTGTGTATCATTCCTTCTAGGCTTTCTCAGTGGAAAGAGCTAGGAAATATATATGTATATATGTATGTTTGTTTATGTTTATGTACGTATGTTTATATGTCACTAGTTACAAACCATGAATTCATATTGCTATCCCATGGAAGATTTTGAAGAGAGGAATGACAGATTCCGATTTATGTTTTGAAAGGATCACTATGCCTAATGTGTTCAGAGTAGACTGCAAAGGAACAAGGAAAAGAAAGGAAGCAAGGAAATAATCTAGGGGCTGTTGTAATAATCTCAGTGAGAGATGTGGGTGGACCAGGGTGTAGTGGTGACATGGTGATAAGTAGCCAGGTTTTTAACATGTTTTAAATAAATTCCTGACTGCGTGTGTGTGTGAGAGAGAATCAGGGATGATCCTAAGGTTTTTAGTCTGACCAACTGAAGAAATGGAATTTTCCTTTCCTGAGATAGAAGATCTACAGGTGAAGCTCATTTCAGGGGGAAGCCAGGAGTTGGTTTGGCCATTTTGTTTGTGATTAGATATCACAAACGGAAACGATATTAGATATCCAAGCAGAAATGATAAGTACATAATAGTATATATGCATCTATAATTCAGGAAAGAGTTGTGGAGCTGGAGATGAACATTTTGGATGTATTTATGTATTATTAGTTGATATTTAAAGAGATCACTAAGGAGGGAGTATAGATAGAGAAGAGGTTGGAAAACTGAGCGGTGGGAACACTTTGACATTCAGAGATCCAGAAGGTGATCATCCAGCAAAGGAGTCTGTGCATGAGCTGCTAATGATGGAGAAGGAATATCAGAAGAGTTAGGGTGTCCCAGAGGGCAAGTGAAGAGAGCGTTTCTAAGGGGAGGGTAAGCATCCATAAGTAGAGATCAATGGATTTAGCAATGCACCGTCCTTTGGTAACCTGTTAACAAGAGCACCTTGAAGAATGGGGTGGGGGGAGGGTGGGCACTTGATTAGAGAGGGTTCAAAGGAGAACGGGAAGATGGAATTGGGGGAGAGTAGGTATATGATAACATGTTTTGCAGAAGAGGGGAACAGAGAGACGGAGTGGGAGCTGAAGGGGGAGGTGTGTGGTGTCAGGGTCGTTTTTGTTGTTCTGCTTGTTCCAAATTGGAATACGTTTCAGTATGTGTGCAGGCTGGTGGGAGTGATCCAGCTAGAGAGGAAAACTGATGGTGCAGGAAGGAGAGCAGGGTCCTTGAGCCCTTGTGGGCCGGGGAATGGGAGATCTAGTAAGTGCAGGGGTTGGCCTTGGTTAGGTGGAAGGTTCGTCTACACCACTGAGGGAAGGGAAGAGCATGTAACCGCAGACAGGTAGGCAGTCAGGTAGGTCGGCAGGTGCGATTGCGGATATCGATGGGGCAATCTCTCCAGAAGGCCTATTTTCTCAGTGAACCAGGAAGGCCGAGGGAGGAAGGGACTCGTGGTTCGGGGTGACAAAAGGGATGAAACAGTCGTATGGGAGACTTGCAGGGGGGAGGGATAGGGGGGATGTAAGACGACTGCCGAAGAGCCCTGAGAAGCCATCCGGGTTCTAATCTAGCCATCCGGGTTTGGGGACGTGAACAATTCAAATTAGTAGTTAAGTGACTTTTACAGGACACACCCATGGGAGGAGGCGCAGGTCTGAGCGTAAGGCCCGCAAGGGGGCGCTCGCGGGCTGGTCGCGGGTGGCGGAGGCCCCCGGGATAAATGCGGTATCTTCTCCAAGGGAAGGAAGCGCTAGGAAAACAAATGGCTTTCTCTCTCCAAGGGCAGTAACGCGCGTTCCCAAAAGTACACACGCTGTGAGCAGGATTCGAACCTGCGCGGGGAGACCCCATTGGATTTCGAGTCCAACGCCTTAACCACTCGGCCATCACAGCCGCGTGCGGCTCGGGGCCTGCGCAACTATAGCTGCCTATCAACGGGCCCGCCTCCCGCCGGCCCCGCCCCTCCGCCTCGGGACGTGTGTGCGCGTGCGCCTCGGCCGGGGGGTGGGGGGTGCGGGCCGCAGTCCTGCGGAAGCCAGCGCCCTCCCGCTCTCCCTCCCCGCCCACGACAAAATGAGCCCGAGCCCCAGCCCAGGGTCCCACGTCCTCGAGCGCAAGGGATGCCCGCGTCACCCCGGTTCGTGAAAGCGAAGCGCGAGTCAGCCTCCGAATTTCCACTAAAAGTGCGCGGGAGCCGGAGCTCCAGGTGGGATTGGCTGGGGAAGAATAAGAAACTTCCGGAAGGTGCCACACGAAGAGCCTTGGGGAAGGTTGGAAGCGCGTTGCCCTTGCAGCAATAATATACCGCCTTTCGCGGGCGCAGGCACCGCTGGGATTCGAACCCAGGATCTCCTGTTTACTAGACAGGCGCTTTAACCAGCTAAGCCACGGCGCCGGCAGAAGAGGCGCTGCGTCTGGAGGTATATCAGCCACTCGGGGGAGTCAGTAAGCGAGAACTGCAAGGCAGCGGTGGCCGCGGGTCCTCCGCCACCTCGGTTCCAAGGTTTTCCCCTCCCTTCCCAGGTCCCGAGCCGGAGGGTTAACGCTCCGCCCCTCCCGTCTCCCACACCCCGGGGGCCCAACTCGACCATGAATGGGTGCTTGACCTCACGTCCCGCAGCCCCCCTGGACTGGGCCCTCTCCTGCGTGGGGACACGGTGACGGAGCAGCTGAACACCCTCACCGGCTTCGGGGCCCCCGCAGGCTGGGCCGGCTCTCCGGCCGCCCCCCGCCCTGCTCCTCACGACACACCCCGCGGACGCCAGGTGACAGGGCCCCCCCGGCCGAGGTAGGTGGAGATTTTACGGGCCCGGCAAGGCCCTTCCGCCGGAAAGGGTGTGCGGAGCAGACGGCTGGGGGGCGCCAGGGGAGTGGTCCTCACGCTCACTACAGCCTCCCTGGATGCGGGGCCACACCTCCCCACAACGAGCTCCCTACCCCCAACCAACACAAAGTCCTGGGTGTTTTGTGTTTTTTTTCTCTTTGTATTAAAAAATAACAACAGACACAATATCAAAAACACATATGCCATCGGTAGAGGGTACAGCTGAGAACACCTGGGTCCCACCTGAGGGGCAGCACCAGGGACTCCATGGTCCACCAACCTCCCCCACCCCGGAGCAGCTAGGGGTTTGGACCGCTGGCCCTCTCCCTCCCCTCTAGGGAGGAGGTGGGAGAAGGGGCTGTCTCCCCCAATAAATAAGTGCAGCCCCAACCCTCAGGGACCGGGACTCGGGCTGAGCCGGGACTTGGAGAGACCACTTGAGCAGCTTGTCAGCAACCTTGTCCAAGGGAAGGAAGAGCTCCTCACCAGAGGTGGGAGACGCGGCTTCTCTGGGCTGGGCTGACGAATCCCCCCGCCCCGTCTCTACCCTCAGAAGCAGGAGGCATCCCCTGGATCCCGGGCTGCTGATGGGGGTCCCGCCCCCTACGTGGGAGAAGCTGGGGCAGTTTCCTACTGGTTGGTCCAGTCACATCTGAGTTCTGAGAGGTGGAACACGGGAGAAGGAAGCTTCTCATGCACTGCCGGAGGGGGCCCCCAAACGTGGTCTAGCTGGTGCCATTTTCTGTTGCGGCTAAGGCTGGACTGGGTGAGCTCCCACCTTGTTCCTCCTCCTCCATGGCCAGGTCCTGAGAGCTGGAGACCCTGGTCCCAGCTTGAGCCTGGGCCTCTTCTCCGCCCTCACCTTCAGCACCCCCGCCCCCACCCTCGCCTCCGCCCTCCTCCATAGGCTCCAGTCCCAGTCCATCCAGTTCCGAGAAGAGGGGGTCATCCGGGTGGCCGGGGTCTTGGGTGCTACTACCGCAATCCACACAGGCCTTGGAGGGAGAAAGGGGACGAGTGGGGCGAGGTTCTCCCTGCTACCCTGCCACCCCAGCTCCCCTTGTGTCTCCCCCCACCCCCCAGGATTACTTCCCAAAATCTCCTCCCAAAGAAAGACTCGTCCACACAGATGCACGCGGGCCAACGAGATTGGAAAGTGTACCGTACCCTGTATCTAGACCCCACTGGGACACGGTCCCAATGTCCGTCACAGAGGATCGGCCCAGAAGGCGTCTACAAAGACTCGTGGGGTTAAATGCTGTCCAACCCACCAGCAAACCGTGCAACCACCATCCTTCAGAATGAGCCACCCGAGGACAAGGAGGGGATCCGCTCCCCCCCCGCCCCCGCCCCGATCCTCTCTTCTCCCTCCGGGCCCAGACTTCTCTCACCATCACATCGAGGGCCCGAGGCAGCTGACCCTTCCGGACCCAGGAATGCACGGCACCCAGTTCCCTGCGCTGGTCCTCTGAGAACCGAGGCTGCTGCTTCTGCATGGCCCGGAGCCGCTCCCGGTCCTGCTTCAGCACAGAGGCCATGTCCCTGCCCGGGGAAGGGGTTCCGACGACAGAGGCTGGGAGCCGGGGCCAGAGCCCAGCGGCTACTGTCCTCCCCACCCACGGCCTCCCGCTCCTCCTCTCAACCAGGGCTCTGGGCGTTCGGGGCTTCCGAGACCAGGAAAGCTTGTGCCCGGCCTGGCTGTGCCAGGGCAGAGCCAGCCCCCCCACCCCGAAAAGAAAACCCCAAGCTCGGTGGGAAGTGCGGGTGGACCAGCACACCTCCCTCTGACGGGGGGGCAGCGGGGGCCTCCGAACCTGCTCACCTGGACGGCACCTGGTAGGTCATCATGACGCGCTGGTCGGCATTGGCCATGAGCAGCCAGATGGGATCCTGGAGCACGTACTTAATGACCTGGTCCCCGGGCTCAGCCCCAGCCTGGGCAGCCCCGGCTTCGGCCTCCGAAGAGTCGATGCTGCCGAAGTACTTGCTCGTGTGGCTGCTCTGACTGCTGCCTGCGAAGCAGGGGGCAGGGGGGCCCCAGAGTCAGGCCGCTGCCCCCCCCAGGGCCTCCCACGCCCTCCCTCAAGGCCATGTCTGCAGCCCACTGGGCCCAGGCTGCTCAGCTAAGGGCGGGGGGTGGGGGGGGCTGGCCTCCCAGTGTGCCCCGTCAGGGTCGTACCCTGGGGGCCCCGGGGTGGGGGGCACTCACGTGTGATGCTGGCTGAAGTGCTGCCTCCCTCATGGGAGCCTGAACCGGACCCAGAGCCCAGGCCGGAGCCTAGGGAGCCTGAGGCGGCGGAGCCCGTGCCGGACCGAGAGTCCTCCTGTAGCAGCAACTCCAGCAGGTCACTGGAGCCCGACAGCGCGTCCTGGTTGGAGGACTCTGTCACCTCCACCTGTGGGGGGGCAAGGGGAACAGGGCGGGATTAAGGGATCAACAGCCAGGCTTCGTGTCAACTGCTTCCACTGGCTGGGGGGACCCACCCAACCCCAGTGGTCTCTGTCCCCACTCCACGACAGTGGGGGCCGGGACAAGAGGGGAGAAGAGGAGGGGTGGGACGCCAGGCCCGTCCCAGGAGGCCGATGCGCTCCCCGAAGTTCTGGGGATGTATCCTCCCCACCTGTCAGACAGACAGGATTGTCCCCACTCCACGGATGAGGCGGCGGGTTTCTGCCTCATTCAGAAACTCAGCTGGGGCCCCCCCACCCCACGACACCATCTTCTGGAGGGCACGGGGCAGGGAGGAGCGTGAGCAGGAAGAGCAGCAAGGGGAAGGGGGGGGCTGTGTGGGGGCTGCTAAGAGGATGCAGGGGATCCGTGCTCACCAATCTGGCCTCTGGCTCAGCGGCCTCCTCACTGGGAGGCGGGGGCCCAGCACTGCTCCCAGCGCCCCCTGCAACAGCACCCCCTTCAACACGGGGGGGCTCCTCAAGCTGCAGCAGATTCAGCTGGAGTGGGGAGCTGCATCTCGAGTTGAAGAGCGGAGAGTCCGGCCCGCGGGGAGGGCTGGGGGGCGGCGGGGGCAGGGACGGAGAAGGGGAGTGGGAGGCGGGGGTAGGAGGCCCTTCGGCGGGGGTCTGGGCTACCCCATAGGAATAGCTGGGTGGGGCAGGGAACAGATAGTTAGGGAGCACCAAGGCTACCATGGGGGTCACCAGCGGGGCAGGGAAAGCTGCAGGGGGCCCAGCTGTGGGGGCAGAGGGGAGAGGCTGCGGGCCTCCTCGCGGGGAGAACACTGGGAGAGGGTAGGACTGGACCACAGCTGGGAAGGGAGTAGTGGCTGGTGGGGGGGGCCAGGGGGCCGAGGGTGACACAGGCGATGGGTGGGAGCCATAGCAGGGGGCTTCGGCCCGGGGGGTCTGGTGGTGGCGGGAGCGCTTGGCTTTGGATCGGCAGTGGTGTCGGCGACCAGGGGGTGTGGGGCCGTGGTGGCAGCCTGTGGGGAGAGACGAGGGTTAGTGAGGGCCTCAACCTGGGGGTGAGCGTCCCTGCCCCGCCCCCCACGCTGCCCTGCCACTCTGACCCAGGACAGGGCAGGAGAAGGCCCTGGAGAGAACTGGGCCTCCAGGCTGCCCAGATCAAGGGGGGCCTCTTGGGAGGAGAGAGAACCTTCAGGGAAGAATCACAGGAGGCAGGGCCAGGGGGGTTTATTGCACAAGGAGCCAGGACAAGTAAAGTTACAAGTGGGGCGGAGCTGGGGGCGCACAGAAGGCGGGGGCACGGTGGCCGATGGGAAGAAGCAGGGTGGGTCCGAGGACGAGCGGGCAGGCGGCTCCGGTCCCTCCACCAGACTCCCACAGCCTGGGCGCTCCTCCTGCAGGTCGAGGCCGCGCTCGGCCTAGCTCGAGCGACGAGGTGGGTGGGAGAGCCCAGTCCTGCATCCTGCGTCCTGCAGGGAGCCTCTCTCAGGCACCTGGAGGGCGGACATCCTGCCCTTGAAGCCCCGACCCCAGCGGGAGTTGTCCCGGCTCGCCTGGCCCCTGTCCGGCCAGGAGTCTGTACGGGTCTCTTAACCGGCGACACCTCGGTCGGAAGCAGCCGTACTTGAGCCCCGGCCCCCAAGCTGGGCTACAAACAGCTTACCTGGAACCGAGCACCTCCGCCTGCCCGTCTCAGTGCCAGCCCCCCAGGCTGCCCTCCTCTGGCTGCAGCCCGGAACCCTGGCCTACTGGGGAGAGTCTAGCCGGGGGCCTGTCCCTACGCACGGCCCTGGTGGTGGAGGCCGCCCCAGCCTGGGTCCCTGCAGCAGGAACCTCTCCCTCAAGCACCCCCTGCCCCCACCCCCCTCCCCGGACAGTCTGGTCCTGGCCCGGGCAGAGGACAAAGCTCAGGGATGTCCCGGGTGGCTACCTCGCTCGCCAGGGGCCAGGGAGGCCGGGGAGGAGCCGTCGAGCGCCCGCAGTCGGCTGAGGTCTCTGAAGCGGCTGAGGAAGGCCTGCTCCTCCTTCTGTGTGTGCAGGGACAGCACGGCCTTGGTCAGGCCCACCGGGCGGTAGGCGTCTGGGGCGGGGTCGGGGGCTACCGTGGGGCTGGGGGCTGGGCTGGCGGCTGGGCCTGGAGCCAGGCCAGGCAGGTCCTCCATCATGATGATGTCTGAGAAAGGGAAGACAGGGGGTGGGGGGGGTCATTGGGATCCCCTCAGGGGTTCCCACAGCCACACCACACCCTGCCCCTCCAGCAGCCCAGCCTGGGCCCCGGGTGCATCTCCGGGCCTCCTCCCCGCTGAGACCTGGTTCTGGGCCCTCTTCCCATCCCCCGGGTGAGAGAGGATACTGAGTCCCCTCCAGCGACAGTACCCCAAGATGACCCCCTAGGACTGTCCTTGGGAAGGCAAGCTCAGTCGTCGCCCTCCCCTCACACACTCTCCAGGACAATGCCCAAAGCCCCTTTGGGGGGGTTTTCTGACACTCTGTGGTCCGCACCTGGGGCTTGAACCCCTCCCCACTCCAGGCTCTGTGTGCCTGCTGACAGGAAGAACAGGAAAAACAAGGCGCCAGAGGCTGGAGAGATGGACGTCAAGAGGCAACAGCCCCGAGCTAGGATGGGGGCCTCTTTCTCTCCGCAGGGGCCAGAGGGAAGGAAAAGGCAGGGGGAGGGAGCGGTGGCTGCGGCACCGAGTGGAACCCCCTCACTGCGCGCCCGTACCCGACTCCGGGGGCTTCTTGTCTCCCACATGGACGATGGTAGAGCTGAAGCTACACTGGCTGGTGATGGACACCACGCTCTCTGCCTTATTGGCCAGGGTGAGCGGGCTCAGGGTGCCTGCCACCACTGGCTCCTTCTGAGGGCCGGCCCCCTCCCCGCGCAGCACCACCGATGGATCTGTGCGGAGAGACGGCGAGACGGCGCCAGTTACCACTGGGAGGTCCCTGGGGGGGGGGGGGGGCCTGCCAGGAATCTGCAAATCAGAAGGCCTGGAGGGGAACAGGGCAGAGTAAGGTGGGGGCCCCAAAGGCAGAAGTGTGGAGACGGGGCCAGTGGGCCAGGACGGGACCCGCCGGGTCTTTACCTTTCTTGGCCCCCAAAGGGACCGGACCCGTCCTCTGCTTGTCCTCGTCCGAGGCCGAGGATGTGGTGCAGGAGGAAGAGGCACACTTCCGCTTGGTCGTGCTGGGGATGTTGCAGCTCTCCAGGTACCTGGCGGGGGACCAGAGGACATGAGGGCAGGGCCTGGGGTGGGGTGGGGCCGGGCCCAAGTGGGAGACGGTTCCCGGGTGGCCTTACCTGAGGATGCTGTCCAGGCAGTTGATCTGCTGGTAGGAACAACTGGAGGCTTCTTTCCTCTCAGCCTCATCCGGGGTCAGGGTGAGTGGGGCCTGGTCGGGAGCAGGGACCACTTCCAGTTCTGGGTCTGGGGACTGGCAGGAAAGGGTCTTGGCTTTGAATGTGCCTGTAGCTGGGCCAAGGAGAGAAAAGGGAGAGATGAACTCCTCTGGGTTGGGGCGAAAGTCATGGGGCCCCCAGGTGTCATTCCTCACCCGCACCCTCACCCACTGACCAGGGAGGCGGGGCCGGGGTGGAGGCCGGGCGCGGGACTCAATGAAAACCTGCTGCCCCTGATGCTTCACCAGATGCACGTCCTTACAGATCTGCTGGAACGTCACCTGTGGGACAGAGCAGGCCAGCACTGGGGGCGTGTGACCAGTGTCAGAGACCCAGGGCGCAGAGCAATGACAGGTGCTCAGCAGGCAGGCGTGCAGGGCACAGCAAGAGCGGGAGGAGAAGGAAAAGGCACCTGCCCAAGCTGATTCTGACAGCACCAGGGGAATGCCGGCCTAGGGGGCGAAGCGGAAGACGGACACTCACCGGCGCAGGAGGCCCAGGCCCCTCGGCATCACCCCCGTTGCTGTCACTGGAGGAGCCAGGGCTGAGGAGAGGGCCCGGGGAAGCGATGGCGCCCACTCCACAGAGCCCCGTGGGACTGGGGCTGTGCACGGGCTGAGGCAGGCGGAGAAGGGGTTAGATGTCTCAGCCCTGCTCCCAGCCCTGCCTCCTCGCCAAGCCCCACCCCTCCACAGTCACCTGTAACAGCAGCCGGTGGATCTGCTCCGAGAGTTCCTGGATGTCCGAGTCCAGAGACAGAGCTGGGCGGGGGGCCGGTGGGGTGAACACATCCTCGTTCAGGGGTGCCCTGCAGGGTGGGGAAGGGGACGCTGAGACCGCCCCCTGCCGCACAGACCCAGCCCACACGGCCGGCTCTGGGGCAAGGCCCACTTACGTGCGGACTTTGTGGCGGCCCAAGACAAAGGCCACCTTGCGGCTCCAGGGGTGCACGAAGCCAGCCCAGCTGGTGTCCATGGTGACATACTCGCCATTCCGGGCACAGAAGCGGATAGGGGAGTGGTCAAAGGGCTGGCCCGCCAGCTGCAGGACTGAGGGAGCGGGAAACGAGGGGGGTCAGCAGGAGGGAGAGCCGGGGAAAGCAGAGGGCCACGCCCTGAGGACCCAAGAGACCAAGGCCCAGAGAGGTACGACCACAAGCACAGCCATGGAGAAGCCCCGCGGACAGCCAGGAAGGGAGAGCAGGAGAAAGAGGACTCACTCTTCTTGTGGATGGCCAGCATGAGGGGTCGGTCCTCAGGATGCAGGAACAGGAGCACTGGTGCCCCCAGGAGGTCCTGGGGGAGGTAGCCCAGCAGCGGGGCAGCCCTGAAAAGGGAGGTGGCATCAGAGTAGCCAAGGCCTCCGCCCCAGCCACCCCCATTTTTCCTCCAGGTCCTGAGCTCACCTTTCGTCCACATCCTGGAAGAGGCAGCTAGGTGTGTGCCGAGTGGTGAAGATCCTCTTGTCGGGGGGGATCCGGGGAGCTGAGCACAGCAAGTGTAGCCATTGGTTTTTTGTTTTGGGGGGGTTTTTTTTGGCCATTGGGTTTTATCCAGAATGGTCCAGCTTCTCTGCCCGCCCCCCCACACACACCATCTCGGGCCCAAGTGGGCTGGCAATCCTCCCCACGGCTCTGCCCAGGGCCGTCTAGCCTACAGAGATGGTCTGGACCATTCTCCTACCCCACAGCAAGCATGAAACTGAGAATCAAAGCAGTCTCCTTTCCCCACTCCTAGTTCAGGGTGCTTATCCAATACTCCCTCTAAAAATGGGCTCAAACCTTCATCCTTTTTTGTTTTGTTCTTTTTTTAAAGATTTTATTTATTTATTTGACAAAGACAGACACAGCGAGAGAGGGAATACAAGCAGGGGGAGTGGGAGAGGGAGAAGCAGGCTTCCCGCTGAGCAGAGAGCCCGATGTGGGGCTCGATCCCAGGACCCTGGGATCATGACCTGAGCCGAAGGCAGACGCTTAACGACTGAGCCACCCAGGCGCCCCTCAAACCTTCATCCTTACCATACCTTCTCTGTTCCAAAATTCTTAAGGGCTGAGATATGCCTCCCAGACTCTCATCCTGCCTCTCCCCTAGCCTAGAGAAATCACCCTTCCTCCTACCCCCTGCCAGGCCAGGCCCGATGCCTACACACCTTCATAACCCGAGTGGATGCGCTCTGCGATGAGCAGGCAGCATGGCTGTGCCGGGGCCCCATCTGAGACCCGGATCTTGGTCACGTATGGCGTGAGGCGGAATGGCTGGTACCGAGGCCCTGAATCCCGGTCAGGACCTCCTCTAGCAAGGGAGAGGAAGAGGCATTAGTGACTGGGTAGAGAGCCACCCACCCTGCACCTCAAGGTCACAACCCACACAGCAAAGAGGCAGGAGAGTGGAAGGTAGGAGGGGGTCTGCTCCCACTTCCCCCACCTACCTGATACGGCAGAAGACAGACTTCTCCTGGGTGAAGTCCTTGAGGCCTGAACCTAGAACAGACCAGAAAGGCACTAAGAACAGCCCCCCCACCCCACCCTGGGCTAACAAGAACCCGGCGAGGAAGAGCTGGGGTCCCCTGGTCCCTCACAGCAGCAGCTTCCGGGGACTGCTTGGGGACCTCACCTGCTGAGGTCCCAGCGCCCCAGGTGGGCAGGCGAGACGGGGCAGTGGAACCATAGAAGACGCCCACATCCTGGGGAGCCAGGAGCTCTGAGAAGCGGGCGCCCCAGAACACATCCCGTTTGCAGCGGAGGAGGACACCCGCCTGCTCCGAAATGTAGACGATGCGGCCTGTCAGGAAGGAGACAGCCACGGAGAAGGTATCCTAGGCGGGAAAGCGGGGACAAAAGTCGAATCGGGAGCCGCGCGCGTGGGGGGCGGGGCTGCCTCGGGACCAGGAGGCCGGGCTGCGGCTGACCTGGTTGCGCAGCGTATACTCGGACGTGATGTGCTCCAGCTCCTCCAGGGTGTAGGTGGACATGTCCATGGCACAAGGCTCGCCCTCCTCCAGGCTCCACTGCTGGTAGTATTCCTGGTTGGCTGCAGGGTGCAGGCGGTGAGGCGTCTGCGGAGGAGCCTGCCCCACCGCCGCAGCCCAGGACCGGCCGGGCCGTCCCCGGAAGCACCACTCACCCTGCACCTGCTTGACACAGGCCAGAGCGTACTGGAGCGTGGCCAGGGTCCCAGAGCGGCCCTTGCCCCGGCGCTCGGGCGGCAGCCGAAGCTTGAGCTCCCGCAGAGCCGTCATGAGCTCCTTCTGGGTCCTCGCCCGGGCTGACTGTTCACTGCTGCAGGGCCCACAGGGAGGGAGGGGGTAGAGCCATGAGCCCCAGATCGTGGCCCAGGCCCCCCAGCCTTGTCCTCTGGCCCTCAACCCCACGAACCTGCAGCCACTGGTAGACGGGTTGTCCTGTTCGGAGCTGGCACTCAGGAGGCTGTAGGCAATGGAACTGCTGGGTGGGGACGGACTCTGAGAGTTCGTGCTAGGGGAGAAGCAACGGGCCCAAGATGAGAAAGCGGCCAGCAGCATGGGCCTGTCCTGTAGCTCAGCCTGCTCCCAAGACTACTCCTGGACCCTGCACCACACATCCATACGCACCTCTTGCTGCTCTCAGTGGTCTCCAGCAGGGCTGAGTCCTTGCCATTGCCGGAAGAAGAGCTGTGTGAGCTCCTCTGAGATGCGCCGCGGGACTCGGGCCCATTAGATTCATTGCCGCTGGACCCATTGCTGTTGGCATCTGTGTCATCAGCCAGGCTGGGGCCAGGGCAAGACCGGCGCTGCGGAGGCCCAGGGGATGGGGCTCCTCCGGGGCAAAAGGTTTCCCCCGGCCCGGGGTCCCCTGCCCCATCAGCCCCTTCTAAAGGGCCACTCATGTCTGAGCCATGGGGAGGGCAGGAAGAAAACACGGAAGGCGGAGAGGCCACCACGGGGGCACACAGGGGGCCGGGCGCCCTGGTTTGGGGGAGTGAGGTGGGAGATCCAAGCCTTTGCGGATTGAGAAGTTCGATCACGGGCAGTACCTGGACGGGGAGACCAAAGAAGGAGGGCTTGGAGAAGGGTGAGCTGTTAACTTTACAGCACCGGCCGGCTTCACTCAGACCTCCCCTGTCTGACCCCACGCCCCTAGGACCCAGGCTTCCCACAGCGAGCCTGGGCAAGTTCTGTGTCCTATCCCGGGAGAGGGGCTGCAGGTGGGAAGGGGCCTCTCTCGGCCCTTCCTCCACGTCCCCTGCCAACGTGGCCTGGGAAAACAGAGACTGAGCAGACGAGAACCAGAGCCCGGGCGCTTCCCATCCCCAAATTCCCACCAGGCCCCCAATCCGCCCGGGACTCCAAGGCCGCGGAGCAGGGGGTATGCCCGGCACCGCCTATATTTAAGCCTTCAGGCTAATTTTATCCGGGGGCGGTGCCACCCCCGCTGCACATGCGCACGGACATGCGCGGCCCCACCACGCGCTTCCGCCGCCGCCGCGGTCGCCAGGGAAACCGACGTCAGCAGCTGAGCTCAGCGGTTGCTGGAGGGACCACAGGAGGCCGGGAAGGGCGACCCCTCCCCCATTTCCCGACGGAGCCGAGGATCGACCCACTCCCACAGCGGCGGGCGCGGCCGCGGGTCGCCCACCTCTAATACACCCTCCGGCCCTGGAGGGCCCGGTGGCCGTAGGAAGGGCGACCCATCGGGTTTCCAGGGGCTGGCCTCGCTCCCCGGGGCAAAACACAACCGCCACCGCCCTCCGCGCAAAAGCTCCCCAGCCTGGCGCTCGCCTGGATCCCAGTCATTCTGGTCAAGACGACACAGCCTGTCCTTCTCCGGCCCCTGCACCCTCTCCCGACCCCCAGGTGCCAAGGCGACACCTGCCATTGTCAGAGACTCGGGAATCCTCTTTCCTCAGTCCTCTACTTTTCTAGATCCCACCCCACCCCCATCCGAAGCGGACACACTCAGCTGTGAGCAAGGGACACACAACCGCCAGCGGATAGTTCTTCCCCTACTCCTCGTCCAACCACACACACACACACACCCGCCCCCCCCCCCAACCCCCGGAGCATTTTCTGAGCTCCAGTAGAAAAAGGAAGGCTGTGGCAACAGCAGGAACTAGCGCCGGGAACGGGATGTTCCAGCCTGAACCAGGCTTACATCACGGCCGGCGCGGGGCCAGGCACTGGAGGGGGGAGCGCGGGGAGCGCGGAAAGCCCGAAGGGGTCCTGGTGCCGGGGCAAAACCAGGGGCCCCCGAGTGACAAGAAAGGCGGCGGGGGCCTGCCTGCCGAGGGTCGGGCGTTGGGCCGGGGGAGCTGGGAGGAGAGGTCAAGGCTGGAGGTAAGGTAAGCGGATCAGGAGTGCGGACAGCGGGTGCAGGGTTGCGAGCAACACCTACGTTCCCGACGGCAGAGCGGGGGTGGACAGCGGCAAGGAAGGCGGATTACCGGTGCGCCGGCAGAGCGCCAGGGCCCAGAGCGGCGCCTCAGGCTGGAAGTGGCGGCGGTCCGACTTGGGGAGGGAGACCGGTCCCCGGGTGGCCCTGGAGATGCCTACCTGGCCGCGCGAGCGCCCTCCGGCCGCCGGCCCGCCGCCGTTGCAGCCCTCAGCCGAGTGGAAGCTTCGCGGGGCCAGGAGGCGGGTTGCATAATGCCAGGCACTGCCCCTCATTGGCTTCCTGCCGGCGGAGCCGCAGGCCCCGCCCCCGATTGGCTGGGGGATCCCGGGCCGGCCCCTGATTGGCTACCGGCCCCTACTGAGGTCAGGGCTGTGTCACACACACGGGCGCACGTGGACCTGGGTGCTGGCGCTGGGCTGAAGGGCCCCAGACACCACCACGCAGCCAACGGGCGCAGGACGCCTTGCACAGTGAATAATGGGAGGGCGGAGAGGGGAGATAAGCTGCCCTTCTTCGGGCAAAATGCCGGGGCCACGGTAGGTACTTAAGAGAGGTCTACTTCCTGGACCGTCAGCCCTACAGAACAGAACACCTTGGCCTTGCCAGAGGTGGGGGAAAGGAATGCTGACCCTTGGGGGGGTGGGCCAGGTTGGATGAGATGGCTGGTCCCTTGGGAGGACGGGGACACACAAAGAAACCCAGCCTGGCCTCTCCTGGGTTCCTCGCCCCAGCCTTGTCATCACAATAAAGCCATTTTATCCAGCCCCTTCCTCTAACACTTCAAATCCTGTGGACAGCCAGGAGGATGGCAATTGAGGATCCCCGCGTGACAGGGGGTGGAGTGCAGGGGAGGATGCAGACAACAGAAGGGGCAGCCAGGGCCAATAAGGGCTGTGAAGGGAAACAATGCTAGGTGCTTCTGTACCCAATCAGAGAAAATGTCTCCGGGCAGCCTACGTGGTGACTAGCGCTGCTTCGCTCCTGAAGATGCGGCCACCCACACTTAGGGCCGCCCCAAATGTGGGGGCCAGGAAGCCAGGACTACAGGGGGAACCTAGGGGGTGGCTGAGGGAAGAGACCAACTGGGACCCTGGAGAGACAGGTGGGGTGGCAAGGGCTTCAGATCCCCAGCCCTAGGACAAGAGAAAGCCGAGGACCTCATCTGTCACCTCACTGCATTTCTCAGTCCCCAGGACAGAACCTGACACACCGTGGGTGATCAGTAAATACGGTGATTTTGTTGTTAACAAGGATAGATAAGGGAGGGGAAGGGGCCTCAGCCATGGAGAAGGTGCTGGAAATTATGCTTTTTGTAAAGGGGAGGGGAGCAGAACCCTGAGTCCTAATTGGGGGAAATACAGTGCCGGGCTGAGCTGGGGGGGAACTGCAGTGACACAGACCCCTTCATCTAAGAGGGCTGTGAGCAGTTCCTCTCAGGGCTCCGCGATAACGTGGGTGGCGAGTGAAGAGGCCCCCAAGCTGATGCTGACATAACCAGCTGTGGGTGCACTCCCTCACTGTCACGGGGCCTAAGCTTTCCTTAACAATGGTGTTCCCCGTGGAGGGGCCCGGGGGGAGGGATCTGTGGAAAAGCTGGGGCACAGGGATGTCATAAAATAACCCAGAAAAAAACCAAAGCAAGAAAACACAGGAAACAAAGGATTCAGGAGCCTGGATTCTCAGTCTCATCCTTGGAAATGGCCCCCCAACTCATAGACTGTGGCCCCTTCCCTTGTCTCATTTTCAGACCCCTCTCCTCTGGAAACAGGGTTTTTCTTCCTCCCGGGTTCTCCTCTGGGGTCTAGGTGTGATCTCCGCGGACACAGGCAGTCCGTGCTCTCTCACCCCCCACCTCTAGGTCTGTGCTTTGCATAGACAAAGGGGTCGAGCGCTCCTGCAGCGCCCACCTGCTCTCAAGGCCCCGGCTGTCCTGCCTCACAGTCCCCACAGTAACCAGGCCCTGCTGCCGTCAATGGAGGCGAGGGGGCGGGAGGGAGCGGTGACGTCAAAGCGGAGGAAGAGGGCGGAGCAAGGCAGCCGGGGAATGTGGGACAGGGAGGCTGGAGAGGCAGCGGTTTGGGAGGCGGCCAGCCGGAGAGGGCGGCGGCCAGCGCACTTGGGAACATCATGTACTCTTGGCTGGTGGCCCAGGACATGCACCCAGACTGGGCGCCTCCCCCAACCAAAGACAGCCGTCCTGTCCTAAAGCCAGGGATTCCTGGAGAGAGGATTAGGAGGAAGGGGTCCCCCGCCACCGCGCCTGGCTCTCTTCTCCAGATTCGCATCCGTCCTCCCCTCCGCTTGCTCCTGCATTTCCTGGCACTGGCTTCCCCCTTCTCCCAAACTGTACACATCTGCTGGCCCAATCCCAAAGAGCTGGGGCGGGGACGCTGGAGGCCCAGGTTCTGCGAGAGAACACGCACCTTTGCTCCTTCCCAGAGGCCCCCTCAGAGCTGGAATCTCCTGTTACTATGGCAGCAAAGAGATGGAGGAGGGGCAGGGAGAAGAATGGGTGTAGGACGAGGAAATCGAACTGGGACAGAGCAAGTGGCACAGCCCGGGGCCTGGATCCTGGGAGAGGAATGAAAGGGTGGAATGAGGTTTTGGGCTGGTGCCTGACGACCAGAAGGCCCAGGAAGAGGGAAATGAGGAGGGAGTCACCGAAACTTGCAGAAACACTTGAGAATGTGAGAATAGTTCCCAACCACAGCACTCCTGTCACTGTTGTTTTGAGATCCTATAGCCTTTTTTTTTTTTTTTTTTAGCTAAAAGCAAAACAAAACAAAAAACATTAAACCATAACCCAGGCATTGCGCTAAGCACCACATATATATATTATCTTATTTAATCCCCAGAACAACCCTGGGAGATGGGTATTACCCCAATTCCACAGAACCAACGAAGGCTCAGAAGTCACTACATTTGCCTCACAATGTGTTCTTGGCTCTTAACAAGTGGAGCCCAGGGTTCAAATCTGAGCGCTGATCATGGCTTGTCATTCCGGCGTCTTACCGTTCGGGCGGGCACCTGTGCGGTGATTCCCAGCACTGGAGGATGGGCGCCTCTCAAATATCCAGCCCATTCTAAGTTTGGTGCCCGGAACACAGATCCATCCAGCCCCTCCTCTCCCTGGGCCTGGTCTCTGACGTCCAGTCTGCACTCCCCACACGCTCGCCCCGAATCATCTCAGCCCCAGTCTTCACACGCTCACAAAGTCCTTGAGATCACCCCAGCAGCCACCAGCCCCAGGGGCTTCCCAGGGGCCCCACCTGCTCACTCTTCACCGTACCCCCGGTCACTTTGCATCAGGCCTGGGTGTCTGTACAGAGAGCAGAGCTCTATGGAGAGGTTGGTGCCTCTTGGCGTCCAGGGGCTCAGGAAGACACGTGCACAGACAGTCCGCACAACCCTTCGGTCCCTCTCAGGACAGTGGCTACTCCACCTTTACTCCCAGGTATGGCTCCGAGGCTCAACCCCTCCCCTTTACACCCGAAAGAGACATCCAGAGCCATGATGCGACGGGCTCAGGGTCACACACATCATCTCACCACCCTTTCTCGAATCACCATGTCAACCCTTTCGTACCCTCCCACCTGCCCTGTCAGGGCCTCCCTCCAGCCTCAGAACACCTGAATCTTGTAAGTGCTTAAGGAGCCTACCCAAACAGTAGCCAAGCACTGGAATGTCCCCCACCCACTCTCAGGGACCGCGTCCCCACACCGCCCCGGGAGCAGGGGTCTCAGCTCCCTCGGGGAGCTGACGACTTCCAAGCCCCACCCTCCCAGGACCCCTGGGCCAATCAGGGGGGTGGGGGGTCCAGGCACCTAGGGCAGCGAGGAATCTGTCAGATGTCGGAGACTCCCGCCCTCGTCCCTCTGGGTCCCATTTCCCACGACCCTCAAAGCTCCCACCGCGGCGATCTTGCATTGGCACGATACCCCCGCCCCACTCCATTAACACCGCCTGGGACAGGACACACCACTCCGGAGAAGCGCACACGGGTCTCCGCCCACCCGCGAACACTCACCTTCGGCGCGCACGCACCGGCCACAGCTTCTTCCCCAGCGGGACGGCGGCGCCCGGACGAGCTCCTCCAGGCCCGCCCACCCGCCGCGCGGCCACGCCCCTCAAGTTTATTGGCCCGGGGGCCCCGACCCATGCCCCTCGCCGCGTGCGGCCGCCCGGCCCCCGCGCCGCCGCCATTGGCGCCGGCGGCCGCCGTCATCTTCCCATTGGTCAGTCTGCCCACCCGCAGTGACAGTTCCACGTGCGAGAGGGGCCGCCCCGGCGCGTTGATTGGGAGTCTGGCCGAAAGCCACGCCCCCACCCACTTCGGAGGTTCTTATTGGCTGTGGCACGAGCCTCCGACCGGCCCGAATCCGGGACGCGAATGCCAGCCCAGCCCTTCAGAGTTTCTCATAGGCTGGGAGGTCTCGGAGCTGTAGAGGACACGTGCCGGCGGTCTCACGCGGCAACTTGTTTACCTGGAAGCTGGGGATTTTCCTTGACGACACTCTTCCCAGAGACTGCGGAGTCTGCGCAGGCGCAGCGAGGGTGACCTGCACGCAGGCGCAGATGTGAGCGGCGGTGGCGTTGGTTGGAGTTTTGTGCCGAGACCCGGGCAAGCTGTCCTGGGCGTGACCAGAGCGCCCCCGGCACTGAGTCTCCGACCCCGGGCCCCTAAAGCCCCGCGAAGCTGGAAGGGGCCGGCATTACCGGTGGAGCGGTCTTCAGATCCCAGCGCCGCGCGAGGACGATGATCATCACGGTGATGACGGCTGCCTCCGGGTGGTTCTCTGCGGACCAAGCCAGGCGCTTCTCCCAAGCCGGGAGGCCGTCTCACTACTACTCCGCCCCACAGAGACTGGGCTCCAGAGAGGTTACATAAGCTTGTCTGGATTAACACTCCAGCCAGTAATGGGGCCAAGATTTAAACCCAGGCCCCCGACACGATGATAGAGGGGGCGGGTCCGAGGGCGTTCGGGAACCTCGGTAGATGAAGCGCGAGGCACGCAGTGAGCCCTCGGTAAATGGGGGACATTATCAAGAGGACGGCGTACCCTTTTGTAAAAGCACCCTTGGCAGTTCGGGAAACACTACGTAGGATTCACCTCCTGCTGCGGCCCGGGAAGTCGGGCTTCCAGGGCTCATCCAGCACTCCACTGACTGCTGCAGCACCTGGGGTCGGGGGTGCTAGGGGTGCCACGTTGGGGACGTCACCGGCCGGGAGGCCAAGGGACTTCAGCGTGGGGTCGAGAGTCACCAGCCCTACAACAGGGTGCAGGCCTAGCAGAACAGCCTATGGCCGGGTCTCCCTGAGCCCATCTGCTCTGTATTTATTAACCCCTTCGGGATGCTGCCACTGCGAGAGGAACCCAGGGGGAAGAGACGTTTCGCACAAGTCGGCCATCTACTTCAGGCCTAGGAGTAAATGACCAGGGGAGCGACTGCGGAGCATCTGGGAATTAAATCAAGGGTTGGAGAGGGATCCAAGAGAGCAGGAGCATGCCTCCAGGCCCAAGCCTCGAGGCTCACCAGGCTGACACAGGGATCAAGAACACTTCCTCTTATCAGCGCCGGGCGCCCACCCGTGGCCACTTTGGGAATCACACTTTGCTCTGCCCAAGGTCAGGCCCTCCAGCAAAGCTCAGTCCATTCCAAATGCACCTTCTCAACTTTCCCGTTTCACCTGCAGATCCTATACCCTTCCCACTGGTTAAGAAAAGGTGTTAGAACACACACCAGCTGGTTACTCATTACACATTTATTGTACATTTTCACAATCTGGATGCGTCACAGAATTGGGGGCATGGGGGGAGGGAAGGGGGGGCAGGGGACACTGGGATAATATGGGGGGGTCTAGAACACAGCACCCCCACCCCCAGCATCTCTCCCTACCCTTTCACACCACAGCTTAGATCTCCCTGCTCCCCCTCCACACAGAAACCTTGAGTGTGGGGGGAAGAAAGAGTTTGGGGGGTCCCCTCCAGCAGGTTAGGGACTGCACCCTCAGACCCCTAAAATTGTGCCATTTAAAAAGACATTAGACCCTCTATCACTTCACCTAAGGAGGAGACAACTCTCTGGGCTCAACTGCCCTGGAGAGGGGCGAGAATCCCCATCTTCCAGCAAGTCCCATACACACATTGGCAGTGACTAGTACCCCCGCCCTGAATTCAGGGGGGCAGTCAGAGGAGCTGGGCAGTGATGGGAGCAACACCCCCACAAACCGGGGAGGGGAGTTTTCGGTCCAAACCCCAGCAAGGGTGGGGCCAGATTTCAGGCAGGAATTGGGGGGATTCTCTGCCCTGCCCCACTCCTCCCCAAGGCAGTGATGACCCCCCCACACACTGGCAGCCATCTCCCCCAAAAGAGTCAGATTGTGGCCAACCCCCAAACTCTCCTGGTGGGAGGAGGAGGAGGCAGATCAGGCGGATGGGAGGGAGGGAGACCCCATGGGAATGTCGGTTGAGTGCCCCACAAGAAAACTGGGGAGCAGGAATGTGGGGAGACTCCAAGTGGCAAAACTATTGGTCCATCATGACACACTGAACTCCAAGACACTTACACACCAGCTGGGGGGAGGGGGAGGAGGGGACAAGAGGTTTGGAAAATGGGGGTAGGAAGGCAAACCAGACTAGAGGGGCTAGGAGGGGGTGATTCTGGGGGCCAGAAGAGCCTGGCTCCCCAAAAGCCCAGGCTCCCACCACCTGCAAGTAATGTCATGCAAATGAAAGACTGATACAAGGACCATAGGGACTAACTCCTCAGTAAAAAAGAAACATGGGTTTAAAGAATGAAGAGCAATGGAACAAAAAAGGAGGAAACCAAAAGGGATGTCAGTATGTAAATGAATGCTAATTAACATGCTGGAAGCTCCCAGAAGACCTTGGGATTCTTAGGACCAAGTGGGGCCAGTCTCAGGGCCTCCCAAAGATGCAAAGAAGATGCACCGTGGGAGGCCTGGACAGTTGCTTTTCGTGGGTTTTTTGGTGTTTTTTTTTTTAATAGGGAGTGGAGGTACAGGGAAGGCCAGGGTGGGAGGAAGGATCAGCTAAATCCAAGGGAAGGAAGAGAGGAAGAGGGACTATTGCATAGCAGATGCAAATGAAGGGATTCAGGGCTGATCAGGAAGAGAGGGAAGGGGAAGGAGGAAAAGAGAGAAGAGATGGCAACCTCAGGAAGGGGTGTTAAGGACAACCGGAAAAATCTTCTAGTAATAAAACTACAAACAGACCAAATATATATAATATTATATATGTATAAATAACAGCTGGCTATTTACAGGGGGGCACACACACGGGGGGACACACACACACGGATCCAGGGGAGGGGGGCTGGAAGATATGGCTGAGAGGTGGAGGAGCGGCTGGGGA